AGAAGAATATTCTTGATTTACACATACCAAACTGAGAATCAGCAAATTCATGAATGCCTCCACCAGACTGAAAGCAGATAAAAAGGGAAGTCAGTGCAAATATTTGCTCAGCTAAATGAGACGATGAATGGTTAAAGTACGAAGAGTCCCATCCAAACTATCTGCACAATGAAGAATAATGTGACAGTGTAACAAAGTTAACAAGTTACCTTTACTGAGAAGTAGGCCCAAACATTAGGCTTGGCTTTAAAACTTATCTCCTGAAAGACAAAAAATCAAGACCTGGTCACTTAACCAAACTTAATCTGTTTGAACTATATATAATACATCTGTCATCTCGAAATCTTACCTTCACTTTCCCGCCAGTAGGTTTGAAACCATCATCTGGGTCCTCACTAGTAATTCTAACTGCTACACAATGGCCCTTTGGCCATTGAGAATCTACTTCATCAAAATTAAATGGTGTAGCAAGAGCTGCTGTTTTCCTCCAAATGTCATACCCTCCTCCATAGTCCATTCCATAGAAACGTCTGATTTCTACATAAGTAGACAGATTAGAGAATAAACTAATAAGGAACTAAATAAGTTGGTAAATAGGTAATTACCTGGAATCTGCCAAAGAGGTATGCCCATTCCAACAGCAACTTGAGCTGCAGGCAGATTTACTTCAGCTATCCACTCGGTGACTGGATGCTCGACCTGCATGGAGATAATTTAAAATTGTAAAGGATTCCCCAACAGGTTAATTAGTCAATGATGTTCAAGTAGCAAACCTGTAGTCGGGGATTAAGCTCCAGAAAATAGTATTCTCCAGTTTCCATGCTGTAAAGATACTCAACAGTAGCAGCACCAACATAACCCACAGCCTTAGCAAGCCTCCTTGCTGCCTGCTCAAGTGCTTTAACTGTCTCACGAGGCGCAACAGTAACTGGGCCTTCTTCAATAATCTGTTGTAGAAAAATGCGAATGGAACTACAATTGAGAAATAGATCGAATAACAAAATGCATGGTTCTATAATTTGATGTTTATGGCTGAGTGGGTGGGGGGTAGACCTTCTGGTGTCGCCGTTGCACACTGCAATCACGACTGTGAAGTGCTGCTACATTGCCATATTGATCACAAAGCAACTGAACTTCAAGATGCCGACTCTACAATAGAGAAAAAGATTTAAAATCAAATATAATGTATGACTACAGATAACAGAGCACAATTCCAGGCTTCCATCTTGAAAATAAAGGTGTAAAGAATGAAACATGTTTTGGTTGTTCGACACAGCACAGTTCAATAATAGTGAGAATATTGAAAACTTATACAATTTAGTCCAAAAAGTAATTTTAGAAAAAGGGTAAAACATCTTCTCCACATAAGTGTTGAGAAACAAGATGTGTTGTTTCTCTCCAGCCATTATCACAATCTTTCCATGATACCGACTGTAAGTTGACAAAAATGGTCCATGTATAACGTGCCACTCAATACTAAGAAAAGCTTAGTCCAGTTCCTGGAAATGCAATTTTTTATACAAAAACAGTGATTTCTAGATTCTAAAAATAGAATGGTATCTGCTCAATCATTATCTCTTTCAAGAGTTCCCATCAATTAACCTTTCATGAATATGTTAATCTCCAAATATGATGATCATTAGTGCATTTGTCAATAATGCATCAGATGCTTCCAGAAAATACAAGGATAACTTTAAAAGAACAAAAAGGGATGGAATATAAATTTCAGAAGGAAAAAAACTAACCTGGGCTGCAAGCCTCATGATAAATATTGGGGAGCCAGGGACTTCACCTTGTACTTGCTTAAACAGAGCTCTAACCTCATCATCATTATGAACCTGCCAGGGAAATTGATTTAATCATATCAGAGGGGGGCAGGGGGGTTAGCTCCCTACACTAAACTCCACAATGTGCACAGTTCTTCACAGATAGTTTAGTCACATAAATAAAACACACCTTTCTTATTCCTTTACCACCACCTCCCCAGGATGCCTTAATCATGGCAGGATAACCAACCACTTGACAACTTGCAACTGCTTCCTCTCTGGTAGTAACACAAGCTTTTCTATACATCTCCTCAGGTATAGCGTCTAAGCAGCACTCTAATGGAACTTCAACCTAAATGTAGTGTCATTATAATATGAAAGATAGAGCAATGAGACCGGCAGATAGTAATCAAAGAGAGAGCGAGACTCACATGTGATCCACTCCAAGCAAGAGTTGGGACCCCGGCTGCTTGAGCAATGAGAGCTGAGCCGACCTTATCTCCCAATGCATTCATTGATGATGCAGGTGGCCCAAGAAAAACGATTCCTTTTGTGGTCAATGCATCCGGCAGTTCAGGATTCTCAGAAGCATGACCCCAACCAGGCCAAACAGCAGAAACACCTACTCTTTCTGCTATCTGCAATATTTCATAGTTAATGGTGACAATTAGACTCCCACAACAGCAGAGGAGAAATATAAACTTCTCTACTTAAATATGACACTGATTATAGAAGAAATAAAGGAAACAGCCGATCAGTAGTAAACTAACAGATTAGCAGTGCTAACCTCCACTATGAGTTGAACGTTGGCGTAGTTATTATTGTTTGTTCCACCAGGCACCTCTACGAATTGATCAGCAATTCTAATGTGTTCTGCATTTATCCTCATGTCTTCTGGAGTTGCCATAGCTATGAGCTGAATTGCCTTCTCAGATCCAAAAGTATCATTAGCCCATGTCCGGACACTCCTCATGAACTTTGCTGCTGCCATTCCATTGTTGGCCACTAATATACTGTGAATTGGTGTTTTGCCACCTAGTGCAGCACAAAATTCAACAACCTTGGACACTGAGGCATGTCTTCCATTATGTGTTTCATTGATAATCCCATTCATCTGATAGGAATCTGTTGGACCCCTCGGATCCTCAGATCCACTGGAAAAATACAAAAGGAAAGGATTACCATTGTGTTCACAACACTAACAATATGCATGGTTGTCATAAATCAACAAAGTTCAAATGAACTTTGCGACTATCATATATGTCCAATTTAGGTCAAACATTTAAATTTTTCCAAAAAAAAAAGGCAGGAATTTACAGCAATAGAAATCAGAAAATATGTATGCAGACATGATTTCATAATAAGTGACCATTGTCCAGCAATACTGCAACTAATTCTTCCACATGAGCTATAACCACATCATATAAGTGAGCAAAGTATTAATTATGATCTAAATAGCAGGTACAGAAGCAGGTCCCTGGCTGTGTTGCAACAGTTACATCACATATTTTGCAGCATTTACTATGAAATATTGAGTATACAACACTAGGACATTAAGAGAGCATTTCAGTATTAGGGAAACTAGTATAAATAAGCTGCAGAATATTGTCTTTTTCCAAAACAAACATATAATACGCAAAATACTATAGTGCTTACTGTGAAATATCCACTTCCAAAGCTGCCTCACTTGGCAGGTCGATAATGCCAGCAAGACCTACATGCAGACAAACATTTGAAACTGAGCAGTGAGCACATCTACATTGATACCTAGAATGAGGCATCAAACATTACGATGTTAAAACAAATAAACAATACCAGACAAGAAAGAATTCCTTCATATATATTTTGAAGCAAAATTTTAGCTTGTATCCAAAGATATTCACAATACCTTGACGAACAGACTGGCTGTGCTTTTTGGCATCTGATACCCCATCTCCACCATCACGGAGTGAACGAGTACGGCTTTTCCTTCGGTTCGAGGGCCTCGACAATGCAGATGATGGGAATGTAGTCCCAGCTGGACTTCTCTGGCGATTAGGGAGTAGTGGCAGGGCCTTTGAGGCAGCTGCAGCTAATCCAAGCTGTGACATTGTCGTTCCGTGGCCCAGGCAGCACAATTAAAGACCTTCTCAAAAGCACAGTGCCATAAAACGAGAGGAAAACTCCTGAAAAATCTGACAACAACAACAACATAGCCTTTCAGTCCCAAGCAAGTTGGGGTAGGCTAGAGCAGAATAACACCATCAGGGCTCTAGCAGAATACTCTTAGGAAGTTTTGAATATCAAAGAAATGAAAAGCAACATTATGGTTTATAGGCCACTCGCTAGAAAAATATTTGTGATATTTCCAGTTTTCCTCTCATTTTGAAGGAACGTACCATGTTGAGATCTTAGCAAGTTTATTGGACACCTTTCATGAAGATTACTATTTACTAGTAAACTATGTCCAAACGTACAAATATCTCTGCCACTAAAACTTGCCAGCACCTTTTTTTCTGCAGTTCTACTATGTTTCTGCTGTATAGTTTTGTTTACTTTTTTATCATACGAAGCCCAAATGTAGTGCAAAATCTTTTCAATGGAGATGGTTGTATAGGAGGGGGGCAGGGACAAGGGCCTCAACCTGAGCAGGGGGGAATAACGAGTATACAACAAGCTCCCCAAATGGCAACAGGTTGTTTTTCCCCATTCTATGAATCACTAAATTGGTATTTTCTTTTTTATCAGGGGGTGATAAGGTTTCATGTGGCTTGTCACTTGTGCAAGTAAGATCAGGATAAAATTTCAGTGGCTCGGACAGTAAGATAACTGTTGGTTTGAAATATTCGCTCTGAAGAAAGTAAATCAAATTTTCTTCATACTAAATGATCATTCCCTTTCAGAAACGGTTTTTTTTCCCCTCAAAAATTGAAGGAAAAACCACCTTTTTTTGTGCACAACATACTAAGAATGCAAAACACTATTTTTCAGATTTGATATGTACCACAAAAAGATGTAAACTATATGATACACAAAAGTAGGTCATCAGCTAAATGCAGGTATTAGATAACCAGGGGAAGTGAAAAGATGCAGAACCACCAACCATATGTTACAGTAACCCACTTGGTAGAATGACACATAAGCAAAAACTAACAGGGCACAAAGCCAAGTGCATTCCTTACGTATCCACAAAGGAACAGTGGGCTTAAACCTTAATTCATGAGGGTACCCAATGATAATACACCTTAATAAACCTTAAACCTTAAACCCAGTGACAGCAAAGACGCAGATACCATGTACCGACAGAACTACACCACCTAGCAATCCAGCATGGGCATGGGCATCCCTGAATAGACCATAGCCAGCAACGCTAGACACTAGCAGAGACACCCAGAGGCTCTCCCATCCATCCTGCAATGCAACAAGAGACAACCTACATTTCCCCCGCGCAGCTGGCACAAACAACAATTCGTGTAACCTGAAACCATTCACCCACCCCAGCAACCCTGCCATTGCCATTGCCATTGCCATTGCCATTGCCGCACAGGGCTCACAGAATTCCGCTCTTCCGGTCGGGCAGCACATGAAAAACCCCCCGCGGCTGGCGCTGGCGAACCCATCCCAAGCTTAAACCCTGTATGTATGTACATAGGTCCCCGGGAACCCGGCAGCAACCAGGAGAGAGAGCAATGGCGGCGCGCAGTCTCACCGGCGGTGGCGCGGATCGGAGTGCCGCACGCGGATCTGACGAGCTCCGCTGGGCCGCGACAGAGGGAGCGAGCGGCGCTGGCGAAGAGCCGGCGGAATAAATAGCAGGGGGCGAGCTGGTACCTCGGGAAGAAAGGCGGCGGGGCGGAGAAGGCGACGCGCGGGGGTTGGATCCTTGCGGCGGAGGGAGCAGAGGAGGAGGCCGAGGGAGGCGCCGGGCGGAGCAGAGGCGGAGGGCGGATATCCCGAGGGGTGGGGTGCTGAGGGCGACTGGGCGAGCCAGGCAGGAGGGCGGAGAGATGTGGGGTGTGCGGCCTATGATAAATAATTTCGCGGCCCGCATCGGCATTGGGGACTCCGCCGCGGTGGAGCGCAGCAGCGGCACGTGACAGAGGGGTGATGGAGATAACGGTGGGGACAAGTGGAGGGCCCGGATGCCGCCGGGTGGATAGGGTGGGGGAGATCGGACGGGGCGCGCGTGGTTTCTGTCTGTCCGTGATGTGATGACGGGGCCTGGCTTGGCCGCCTGGGTGGGGAGGGGATTTTCTCCCTTGTCCCTTTCCATTTCTCCGATAGGGCCCACGGTTCACTTTGTTTGGTTGGTTGGTTCATATCGTTGCTGGTTTGTGAAAAAGCACTGTTGGCTGGTTTGTGTGAGAGAAAAATAATGTTTCGGTTGAAAATTTACGATCGTTTATAACAAGCCACAGCCAAACGAACAGACCGAGGGCTCTTCTGCTCTCTGCTGTTTGGATGGTTTGACACTTTGACGGCTGCACCTAGGGTAACGCGAATTTAAGTTGCCAACCCATTTTGTATTAAGGCCCTGTCTAAATTCAGGGGTAAAGTTTCAGAGTGTCACATCGAGTGTCAAATGAAGGTATCGCATGGAGTATTCGGATACTAATAAAAAAATAAATTACAGAATCCATCAGCAATCCACGGGACGAATTTATTAAGTCTAATTAATACATCATTAGCACATGTGTTACTGTAGCACCACGTTGTCAAATCGTGGACTAATTAGGCTTAAAAAATTCATCTCGCAAATTAGTCGTAAACTGTGTAATTAGTTTTTTTAGTCTATATTTAATATTTCATGCATGTGTCAAAACATTCGATGGAATAGGGAATAAACTTTAGAAGAGGAACTAAATAAGACCTAAGCTGTGTGGTTGAGCTGACCGCACTTGCCCTGATCGTGACCCGGTTTTTGGCCTCTCCCTTTCTGAGATTATTGGGCTGTCATTCTGACCTGGACCTGTTATTATATATGCAACCAATCTATGCAGGTGGCGATTAATATGCGCCATGTTCGTTTGGGTTTGTTTGGCTTATAAGCTATGGCTGAGAGTACTGTTGACTGATTTGATGTGAGAGAAAAATATTATTCGTTGGCTGATAAACCATAGCTTATAAGCCGAATACGACCAAGGCTAATGGTCGGTTTTGGAAGAGGCCAGGTGGTAAAAACAATTTCAGGAGCTTTGAGCTCTTGCCGCTTCACAAGTTGGCAATAATACAAAGTTGTCAAATCAGGAAAAAAAATGAAATAAAGTTATGTAGCAACAGCGTCGATGTACAATGGGTACTTTGACCTCGACTGACATTATATGGATCCTTCAATGCACTTGTTTATTTATTATAATGTATGAAGCAACTTACTATTAACTCTGTTAGAATAGATACATTAATTTAACTAGCAACAATAACCCTACTAAAACTAGCAGTTTATGTGACAAACCGAAATCCACCAAAAAAATTAGTGCATCAGCATCAAACTGCCCCTTGTACAGATTGTGGCCCCCTAGGCCCTAGCAGAGGCTGGTTTTGATATAGAACACATATGGTGGTACGTTGGTCATCGAATAACGAGTGACAAAGTCAATTATGCACTGCTGAAGAATCTATGAGCGTATAAATGGTAAGTGACGGTGTGGCATGTTGTCGCCTTAGTTGATGACTAGAATTTCAATTCAACCGTTGCTAACATTTATGCTCCTGTTCAAATAAACATGTTGTTTTTTTACTAAGGTCTTCACTGCTTAGCAGTGTTACCTCTCATATGTAAAGTGGTGTTATTGTCTTTGTTGCTTCTCTTAGTGTTGAGTTTTGTCGGGTTGCAAATTATTTCCTATGTAATTAACTCTTTGTGAACTTTATTGGTTATTCTTCTAAGGCTTGTCTTGCAAAGATCGTGTTGGTTCTGATAAGTAGGATTACGTGTTGTAAATCGCCTTTCCTTTTTAATGAAAAGTGTGCTTACCTATTGTTGCGAAAATAGAAAAAAAAACATGTTCTTTTTTTACTATTTGGGGTAAAGACCAATGAAGTGATACAACCTGGATTAGAAATCAAGACATATTCAAGTCTTCTTTGTACTCACCTAATACCGAGTCACCTCCGATCCGTGTCAGGTTGCCTAGTCTTGCCCACTCAATAAATGTTCGTACTGATTACAAGATGTCATCTTTCCTACGAACACTTTGTGTCGGGAATAATATGATTAGACCTTGTGTGCTCAGGTCTTGATGAATACAAAGAGATGTATTAGTAGTAACCTTTAGGTACACTACAATTCAGACCTAGCAAACTATATGTCGCTTTTTGTATTCTTCATTGAACTACCAAAATTTGATTAAAAAAATATTTTAGGGGGTCTTGTTGAGACTTCTACCTCTAAATATGTGTCTATTGTTTCTAAGAGTACAATGTATCAACTATCGGTGTTAGGATATAACTAGGATGGTACTACCGAGGGCTATGTCCATATATTCCTTTTCTTTACATTGAACTCGTATAAGTTGCAATGAGTTTTGTTGTAGCTTCATTTGACTCATCAAATAAATTGGAAAGACAAGAGGCTTGGCCCTTGCCATGTTCGTACTAGTTCTAGCACCGACTTAGTATGCTATTTATGATCTAGGGTTCACCCGAACTTCAAGTTCAAAGGAATGGAAGGATGGTCACACTACCATAAGCGAAGGTGGATGAGTGGGCTAGTTGTGGTTGCCAATGTAACTGGAAACATGAATGCTAGGACTTTGTTATCAACATGAATGCTATGACTTGGTGACATGGTTTCTTCACTTGCTATGGTCTAAATCCTGTTCCTCAATGTATTTATTTATGTATAGATAAATGAGTCATTTCATCCAACAAAAATAAAAGATACTCCTCCACGTATTTATAAAACATAAGAGCACGTTCAATATTCTAGTCACGTATCCATTGTTAGGTTCTCTGACTCAATCAATTTTATGTTTTTAGTATAAGAGAAAGAAAAATGATAACGATGGCACCAATTAATAACCAAGGTTACAGAAAGATAATTAGCACTTACTCCTTTTTCACCAATGTTGTAAAATGGCATGTGCTAATTGAATTCTTAAACACAAGGATTATATTGATGCAAAATATGCTTGCCGCCAAAATAAAAAAAAACCACTAGTGGCTTAATTATTACTTGGAGTGAGGGGATGGGTAGTAAATTTTAAATGTGAAAAATGCTTCATTTGTGGACGAAATGAGTATAATTATTAAGAAATTTTTTACAATAATTGGGGAAAAATTAGATGGCTGACATCGACCGAGAGCGGCCAATCCGACGGCAACAAAGGTAGGAGGCAACGGGAGGCAATGGGACGGAGGCAACGGGAGGCGATTGTTGTGTCTATGATCGGTGGGCCATATGCGCAAAAATCGCCTTCCATTGCCTCCGCAAATGTGGGGAATAGGACTGGGCGGTAATTCCATTCTCGTAGTTTTTTTTTATAAAGGGTAAAACGGTAACTCTAAATGTAAAAATAATGTTTTGAGTAATATAGTTAGGATGGATAATACAATTAATGTAGTTAGTTAAATGAATATGTCGTTTACTTCTTGTTCCACCACCGCTGTCTCATGAAGCCATTGCCCGCCATGGGAGGGAGGAGGCCGGGCACGGGCAACGGGCCACCCCTACCTCTTGTTCCTCCTCGCCATCATCCGCTCAAGGCGTCGCCCTCCTCCTCGCCAGACTCACTCGGGCCGCCCCTCGGCGTTCGTCCATGGTGGAGCAAGAGGAGGCGGTGAGGATGGGGACCATGAAACCTAGATCCAAGCGCCATGAGGAGGAGGAGGAGGCGCGCACCGACACCGACGCTTAGTGCAAGGCGTCTTTGCACACGACCGTGGGGTAGGTTCGACACCGCCATGGTGCTATCTCGCAATTCCACCGCCGCCGCCCCGCGCGAGCCGCCGCCGCCGCCGATGGGAGGAGGCCGGGCGCAGGCAACGGGCCACCCCTACCTCTTGTTCCTCCTCGCCGTCATCCGCTGGCGTCGCCCTCCTCCTCTCGCCAGACTCGCTCGGGCGCCGCCCTCGGCGTTCGTCCATGGTGGAGCAAGAGGAGGCGGTGAGGATGGGGCCATGAAACCTAGATCCAAGCGCCATGAGGAGGAGGGCGCCGCCGCCGACACCGACGCTTAGTGCAAGCGTCTTTGCACACATACCAAGGCAGGTTCGACACCGCCAGCGGTGCTATCTCGCGATAAGGGCAGGTTCGGCGTCACGCCGCCTCACCTGGCCACCGGCACGGCCTTCTTCAGCCATTTTTTGCACCGCCGAGGAAGCGGACACGAGCTATTGCCACGTGGCCACGCTCTTGGCGGTGAACTCACGGCGGGCGCCTTTGCGGTTGACCTCATTGCGCGGTTCTCGTGCACTTTACCCGCGCGTAGGTGTTACCTAGGTTGGTTTCTCGCTGCGCAAGTTCATGTCTTTTGATTCTTAGTTCAGAGAATATCGTAACTACTAGAGTAGTTCATACAAATCACTTGCAATTGTGTGTTCATCATAGCATACAATGCTTGTTTCCAATTGGCAAAAGGGGTATGGTCTTACAGGATTGATGGTTTTCATATACTAGGTTAGAAACTGTCAAGTATGCTCTCTTTAGTTAGTGAATTATTTATTGACAAATCTCATTTGCAGATATGAGCTTGAATTAAATGTTCTTGGACTTAGGTTTTTAGTTTGACACAACCATCATGTGTAATTTTGAGTTTTGTGAAAAGAAGTATGAAGAGCAACTGATACAACTATAGTTCTGTCAGCCAGTTCAACTTTGACTTTCATAGTTTGCAGAATTTCTGGTGGCTTGGTTGGAGCATTTGTAACATTGGGCAGGATTGACATGTCATTCAACACATTAGTGCGAGAGAGGAACGCTATGCTTCCTACAATTTCATCAAAGGTAATTTATATAGTGAAAAAACACTTGCTTTGATTTGGAATTTGCTGCTCATACTTTGTGCTCAACATTCAATGTAGATATTCAGCTCAGACCGAATGTAAATTTATGCCATTCCATATTGACCCCTTGGGTTGTCTGATCTTTTTCCTAATGGCTAAAATTAGTTTCAAGAATGTGAAGGGTTGGATCACTCTGGAACTTTTATCTTATAGACTTCAGTCCTGAAATAATAATACAATTTCCATCATTATGACAGCAGGGACTTTTGCTATAACTGACTAGTTAGTAATGACTAATTTGATTGAGAATACCACAACACAAACACCTTTAACTTTTACTTGAATGTTGCTCAAGTGCTGTTTTTGTTGCTGCCATGCTGGAAGATAGAATGGAACTACAGCTAACATGTAAAACTTGGTTACAAATTTTGATCAGTTTAAAAAAGAAACAACTTTTGTTGCAAGAATGATGAAGCCAAATGTAGTTTGCTACTATGGGCTATGGCATTCCATTTTATTCTGGTTTGGTCATTGGGGAGTGGGGATACTTGGGACCAGTTCAAAGCATTATGAAGTTTTGAACTGTCCAATTGCTTGGCTATATCTGCTCTTTTGTGCTTGAAGGGAAAGCGTCGGTGGTCCTGCTGGTGAAGAGAATGTACAGGATGCTAGGCAGCAAAATGGACATCAAAAACAAGTTGTTGTGAGGAGGTTTCACTTTGCTTTTCAGCTTGACTTGGCCTTGATCATCAAACTAGCCGCAGTGGTGTTTCTCTTTAGCCAGGAAGGCTCGAAACAAAGGTTGTTTCTTCTCATACTGTTTGCCTCATTGATTAACTTGTTAGTACTTTGCTCAAATCATCTCCAATATACTTAATGCTATTTCACAGTTTACTCTTCATTACTTGTATAGCCTATATATGGTGCTGCTAGATAACCTCGTGGTTCTGTATCCTGTAGATATCAAACCGGAGCTATTACACCTTTTGTAAGATGGCTTCAGCGGGCGGGAGGTGCAGCTGCTCGTCCACCACAGGCCCCTGCTCGGGTTGAGAACCGTGCTCCTCTGCCTGCCCAGAATGATGGCAATGAGCAGCCCAATGGTAGCTTCCATATACTGCTCTTTGTATTGTTTGTGCTCTATGCATGATTGTTCATCATATTGCAACACCAATTTCACTTTTTAGTATATTTTAGTCTCACCATAATATTGTAACTTTCCTTTTCACTACCATCTGCTCTTCAATGGGAGGTTCATATAAACAGCAGTAGCCCTTGCATGAAATAAAATTGTAAATGGCCACGATTAGCACCAACGAATGAGACATGTTACAGCTGTCTAATGTCTCATGTTGATTCCTGTTTTGATGGAATGGTGTTTCATGCTTTAACAGTCAAGTTGTTTGTTGCTTTTGATTTGACTACAAGTACCAATAATGATTCATATTTCTCTTTTTCTAAGGAAGTGTTAATGCACAGTTTGCTAGTATCTAGTGACTAAGCGCTTCTGCTGTTGTGCAAAATCTTGCAGGGCCTGCAAACCCTGACCAAGCTGCTGAGAACCATGAACAAGATGCTGCAGCTGGTAACGAGAATCCGCAAGAGGCAGAGGTAGAAGGAAATCAGCGCAATTGGCTTGGAGGTGTCTTGAAAGAGGTCCAGCTGGTTGTTGTAGGGTTTGTTGCATCGCTTCTTCCTGGTTTTCAGCACAATGACTAGGCCTCATCTCGTCACTGTGGAATAAGCTATCAGCAGTGATATAATTATGGTGATATAGGGGAAATAATTATATGAAGCAGCTGAAAGATTTCTGTTTACGCAAATGAATGCATATTTGTTGTTAATGTTGTTTTGTTTCATGTTCAAAGACTTATTGAACAAATCCTGTGACTGAATGCATACTTGCAGCTCACATGTAAAGAGTAGCCTGACACATCATCAAGTGAACAAGTATTATTTTCGTTGCAGAAATATGGGATGCTTGCACCTGAACATAGTATCAGTCCCTTCTGCAAAATGTCTGAAATGAAGGATGTGAAAGTTTTTTCAAGGCTGAAACCTTGATTTATAATGTGTGACAGTAGAACAGAAAATTTATGTCAGAGTGAAATACAATAATTATTATTTTTCTCGGTTGATTTTGTCGATCTTGGTCAGTTGCTCTCGCCGATGAATCAACTCAATAAGTGTTTTATACTGTTTAAAGGCTTTGTTGTTGTTGTTGGTTCGTACTATGATTAGCCTACCCCAACTTGTTTTATACTGTTTAAAGGCTTTGTTGTTGTTGTTGGTTCGTACTATGATCTAGCATTTTGCTTGGCTTGAATCCAAGTAACATTGAAGTTGAAGATAGCTGTGTTGCCTTGACAGGAAGGAAGTTAAAATACAAGAAGAGCATGTGATTATTTGCACCTACTTCTTGCACCACCGGACTTGATACTCAGAGATTTTTTCTGTACTCGCAAAGCTAGAGGCAGACCGCAAGCATAACCGTCGCTGACAGCCTAGTGTCGATGTACTCGCAGTGTCTATTCTATTTGTTTTACAATCACAAGTGTACTGGCTGCAAAGCTCAGACCGCAAGCATAACCGTTGCAGATAGCCTAATGTTGATATACTTGCAGTGTCTACTCAGTTTGTTTTACAATCACAAGTTCCTGAGCGGTTGATGTACTTGCAACGGCAAGAATAACCGTCGCTGGTGGTAGCCTAATGGTGGTGTACTCGCAGTGTCTATCCTGTTTGCCTACTTGCTACAGCAATCGCAAGAATATAAAACATTTGTCAGCAGGCAGAGGAGCCTTGCACTGTTCGGGCTTTTAAGGTCGTGAGTTTGAATCTATGCCTATGAGGCTGTTATTATCATTAAACTCTATTCCTCCACCGACGGAAATACATCTGATCATATATCATTACATAGCAAGTACCTGTTCGCTTGCTCGTAAACGATCGTAAATTTCCAGCCGGGAACAGTGTTTTTCTCTCACACCAAACCAGCCAAAGTAAATAATCCACGATCGCTTTTATCTCCCGACGTAAAAAATCTATATATATAGTATTCCTCATTTAAAGAAGAATCAAAATCAGTACAACAATGCTCTATTGGCTAAAATCTATATATAGCATTCCTCATTAAAAAAATTAAATGAGTTCAGTACAACAATGCGATTCTAGATCCTGAACTACGCCTTTGAGGCTAATAACTTACACCATGATCGAAACTACCGATGAAATCTTTTTGGCTCTACAGCATCTAATGTTCCTCGACACCCTCGTAGCCTCATCTTTAGGCCAATCAAATAAAAACTGGGAAAATTTAAGCAACCAAAATTTATCCTCAAACTGTCTTCTTGTAGTATATGCGTAATGCGCCTTTCCGACATGTTTCTATGGATTCTGTACTCACAACTCGTCATGAGATTCAGGTTCTGAATCGCTAGTGTTGGCTGATGCGCATCGATCCTCTTAGATTCCTCGAGACGTTTGATGTATTCACCCTCGTTGGGTGCAGATTCCAAGAGGTGGTTTTCTCCTTGCTAGCATGTTCTTCCTCCTTTGCTGTTTTCTTCTCAACCTTGGGTTTTGGTTTTGGAATCCTATTGACACTTGAGACCTGCACAATGAAAGAGCACACATTATACTTACTACCATGAGTAGTATGCATAACTTTTATAGGGCGCTCTACCAAATTACTAACCTTATCTTGCAAGTCCGAACTTTCTCATAAACTTCTTCAGATGTGAAACTGGTGGGCTATAGATAGGGGTACTGCAAAAAATTTCAACGGGAGTTAGCCACCTTTACAAGACAATAAAAAAGCAAGCTGACTCGAAGGTATACTTTTTCTGTAGGTTTTCCTTCTCATCCAACCAAGCTTTCACTTTCTCTGCTTCACTTACAACCTAGAACCAGAGCATTACACGACCAACAAAATGAGCATTACACATAATCACAAAGTCAACTTCATTAAGCTCACAGGTTTACCTCATCTACTCTCTTTTGGGGAGCCATGGTTTGTTTGTGTCCCAGTTCTTGACAATCTGAAAACCAAACGCAGCATCGAATTAGAACAGAATAACACATCAACCATGCATTACATCGGTCGAAACAGTTATAATGAAAGCAGTTCACAACATGGATAAAATGGATGTAAAACAACGGTTTTGTCCCCTCATGTGGAATTCAGTGTATAGTAAATTTAGCCTTTTTTCTGCTTCCACGAAATTATTGATCAATCCTTTTTCGTGCAAGAAGATACCGTGGTCTCGACACGCCCTCCTCATCACTCCAAATCCCGACACCCATTAAAGCATCTACGGATCTCATGGCTCCAGCATTTGCAAACCACGCCAATAGGTCGTCGATGCCACCGGCGTGATTTAGGCACGGAGAGACATTGTTCTTGCGATTCTGCGCACAGATACTTATTGCATCGGCCGTCGTCGTAAGCGTAATTCATGATTGCACACCGAAATATAATGGATCATATAAAAGAGCCAATGCATCTATCTCTCGTGGAACCGCACCAAACACTCATTAGCACTTGAAAAAAAATTGCATAGAAATATGCATGCATGAGCTATGGACTCGATTGCATAGAAACAAACAGCATAGGTGTTTCCAATTCAACTACAAACAGATCTCTAAAATTTGTCGCTCCACGAGACATACCTCGTTAGGCGACTGGGCCTTTTTGATACGAAGATCACATCCTCCGTTCACGCAAGCATTGCGACGACCACGATTCCAGCCCCAAGAATTCTGCAAAGCATGGCCGCCTCTCCCTCTCGGGAGAGGCATGGAGAGACTCCGCTCACGCAGCTTCACGCAGTCGGGGCCAAGCACCTTTCGGCTCTTCTTTAGAGCCGTGGATTTTCCCGTCTTCATCTTCTTCTCACCGATGATTTTCCCGGATTCATCTCTAGAGACGGCGTGGATGTGGTTTTGGCGACGCTTGATGAAGGTGGAGATCGTGGCGGCGCGCGCGCCGAGCTCTGGGCCGGTGGCGTGCTAGGGCTAGGGCTAAGGCTACGGCTCGAGCGGCCCCTTTAGGGTTCTAAGGTGGCGGCGCGGTGCTCGGGCATACTGCTTATAGGGGCGGCGCGAAACCTCGGGGGCCACGATCGAGGGGATCGGGCGGCGGTGGCTAATCCCGGTTGATGCAACACAAGGGGCACGCTCAATGGAGGGGAGGGTAGTGGGTTTTGGCCCGCAGGCATATCGGCGGAGTTGGGGAGAAGTTGCCGCTGTGTCCGTCTCTGTGGAAGGAGGCGACATGGTGCGTGGAGTCACGACACGCTGGCCCTGCAGGTCAGCCGACAGGGGCACGGGCAAAGGCGCCGGGCCACGCCGCGCTGTTGCGGTTGGGGCTGGCTGTTGTTGCCGAGGGCTGCGTTGGTTTGCGTGGCGGGTAGTGGGGGCTGTCGCCCGTAACTAAAATATAGGGGAGTGCGAGAGCGGTGGAGAAGGAAGTCGCCTACATGCCCGGTTTAGTCCCACCTCGCTTGCATATCAATCAAAAGCACAACTTAAAAGCGCAGCAAACTAGCCGCCTCGAACACTTGTAATACACTACCTATGCTCTTGAACGTTCATTACTGTAGCAATTGGGCCAGTAGCGGCTGGTTGGGCTCCCTTCGAGGTCGAGCTTGACCTAGCCGCTCTTGCCCTTAGCACCAATTTTTTTCAAACCATCCATTTTGCAATTGAAGTCCCTCTTGCAAACCTTTTATTTTGTAATTGAATTTTTTTTTGTATCTTCCAAAGATTGATTTGTAATATAAAGCCGGACCTTAAAATAAAGAAACTCGGATTCACACATAAAAAACACGTGGATAGAGTGATCGGTTCAACCTATAAGTGCACTTTCGGATGACACATAAGAGTGATCGGTTCACTTCCTATCATGTTAGGTTAACGGTTTATCACCCACCGATCAAACGAGCCGCGAGAATGTAGGTTCAAGACTTGTCGTCCTACGAGCACTAGTCTAGCTACTCAGAGGAGACATGAGAGTGATCGGTTGACTTTGTTATCGTGCTATTAGCCTGTGAGTCCACTCGGACGACACGTGATAGTGATGGATTAGTTTGTATCATGTTAAGGCTAGTGGTTCACTCTGTCGAGACATGAGAGTGATTGATTCACTTCCATTCACTTTAGGCCTTTTACTCCACTTAGTCAGTATGTGCAAACTACAATGGTTTGCAATTGAAGTCCCTCTTGAAAACCTTTTTTTTCAAACCATTTATTTTGTAATTGAATTTTTTGTATCTTCCAGTATTGATTTGTAATATAAAGCCAGACCTGAAAATAAAGAAACTCGGATTCACACATAAAAAACACGTGGATAGAGTGATCGGTTCAACCTATAAATGCACTCGGATGACACATAAGAGTGATCGGTTCACTTCCTATCATGTTAGGTTAACGGTCTATCAGTCCACTGATCAAACGAGCCGTGAGAATGTAGGTTCAGTACTTGTCGTCCTACGAGCACTAGTCTAGCTACTCAGAGGAGACATGAGAGTGATCGGTTGACTTTGTTATCGTGCTATTAGCCTGTTAGTCCACACGGACGACACGTGATAGTGACGGATTAGTTTGTATCATGTTAAGGCTAGTGGTTCACTCTGTCGAGACATGAGAGTGATTGATTGACTTCCATTCACTTTAGGCCTTTTACTCCACTCAGTCAGTACATCCAAACTACAATGGTT